TGGTTGACATGTTTTTGTTTTATACAAACAACCGGGATCAACTCGATTGTCGCAAATCCCGACCCCATTTCCAATTTTTGCTGGAAAGTAGAATGATAACTGCTATAACTACAGTTTGGGTGATATCTGCACTATTTCCGATTAACCGAATAGGATGCAGCTATAGCAACGACAATTCGCGACAAACAAATTGTAAACATGACGAATGATGAGAATTGTCTCCCCTCACAAAATGGCGTCTTTTCTGAAACGTCACATAGCAACTTTCAGGGAGGGTATAAGGGTTGTTTAATGGCTTCGAAATCACCTTCCAAATTTAACTTAACCAAGTATGACGTATTACAAAGACCTATAAAACAAAAAAAGTAGCCAGGTACATGAAGGGAATTGTCTCCCTTTACAACATGGCGTCTTGAAAAAAGTCTCATAGCAATCTTTGATATTAAAGACATAATGATTGATTTTATTTCAAGTAAAATATTGGTTGCAGATTACTATAATTGTTAACAAGGTGTCATTCCATATTTTATTGTGTTAGTCTGACACAAAGTTTTCTTCCCGCCGATCAATAATCATAAAAAATACAAATTATTCATAGAAAATATAAGCCTACGTAGATGAATAAATTGTGATTCCCGCCAAAGATAGCTACCTTTTTAATGCCTTTCTGATGATCTGAAGTGAAATGGAGTTTTACATCATATGAATAAATTATAGTTCCCGCCAAAGATACATTATTTTGATGTTTAATATGATAATCTGAAATGAAGTTTATCTGAGTATAATGAGTTTTCCGCCGAAGAAACATGTTTAATGCGTATCTGGTTATCTAAAATGAAATGAAGTTTTCCGCCCTATGAATAAATTATGATTCCATTCAAAGATACACTTATAATGCCCGGCTGATGAACTGAAATTGATCTGTGATAATAGCATGATAGACAATTACTTTTTCGAAAACTTACTATGTTCACTTATTCGTTTTAAACTGTTTTCAGACAATGTTTTGTTTGTCATTAAGTTACATATCGGTATGAAGCAACTCGTTCAGTAGAAAACAAAACGTTACCAAACGCAGTGCTGTTTTATAACAGTAAATGATTAAACGCAAGTCAGCTAATAGGGAAACTAGCAGCCCGGTGTTAAAAAAGGGGAGGGGGGGGGGCAAAAAATTACTGCAACTAAACACCGTACACTATTTCCGCATATATTACTTGTCCCTCCAAACAATCAAGTCTGGCTACGGGCCTGAGGTGTTCCATAAAGCAACTTTTCAAAGCATATTGTAACATTTTTACTAATTAAATCTGGTCAAATGGTGACCAAAGTGAGAAAGTGTAAAGTTGAGAACATTATTCTGATGTTTTAAAAAGGCTTAATGATTGTACATAAATCATCCTACTGTCGCCCAATTAACAGACATGTCTTTAGACAGCTAGTACATCTTTACCCTTTACAACACGACATGTACTATCTCATTACAACACCAAAATATCCAATATTAAAAACCGCACCTGACTGGGCTTATTAAGACAGTCAGCGCCATGCAGAGTGCAAAAAGGGAAATTCTACCAGTTTTCAATCGCTATTGTTGACCACGAAATTTTGAAAAGCGCCAATGAAAGCGACGTACAAAAAACTTTAAAACAAATTTCAAATGAGCGCATGCATCTGTTACTAAATACAAAACTTGAAAACAGAAAAACCAAACTTACCGAAAATTGCAAATACAATCTTTTCCTTCAACCGATAAATCCAAAATAACTCGACAAGAATCGGGATAATATCCTGAAGCCAACAAACGTCGTGTGGCTAGAGTAGGAATAACTACCTCCACGAGCTATATCGAACTATATATCGTGGTAATAATCCAGAGGCTGGCACCGTGTTAGTAAAACTACACAAGACTGATTCAACTGCGTAGTATTCAACTAGTTTATTGCAGACTGTTCCATTGGCATCTTCGTTAGACTGATTCCATTGTCATCTTCGTTGTGTCAGACGACACTTAATTGGTGTATTGTTTTAGCACATAATATATTAGGACTAATATGTTTTCGTGTGATTTTTAAATTCATTAAAATTTCGAAGAACTACATGCTTTAATGTACAAAAAAAAGATAAAAAAAAAAATCAAAACTTGTTGCACAGCGTCATTAGCAAATTTCCCACGTTGCATACTGCATAGAGTCCATAGAGTTAGAAAACTAGGGCATCAAACTAAAAATCCATTAATGGCTTCGTCAAATAGAAAAATTGAGACAATCTCTTCATAATCCCTTCTTTTCAATATCCCATTATCAGCTGATTTAAAATATGAATTAATGGTTTTAAACAAGTTTATATTTATTATTAATTCACTCTATCAGGTAATAATGTTTATCTTAGTATAGTACGTGCATATTGATGTACCATTGTATTGTATTGTTTAATCATATACACAGGTGTTAGGTTTCCCCGATATCGCAAGGTGATTGTCCTGTCACGGAAATCATGTCCACCATTTCAATAGCTCATATCAAAAATGTCCATCTATAATAGTTGTCTAGATATTGACTTTACCAGCTGATAGAGCTCAATTTCAGCTCTCTGTTTGTCGTTTGTCGGCTGCTAAGGATCTATAGTCGTATAAATATTTACTTTACCAGTTGATAGAGCTCATTTTTTAGCTATCTGTGTAGTTGTATAAATATTTACTTTATCAGATGATAAAGCTCAATTTGAACTATCTGTATAGTCATCTAAATATTTACTTTACTAGCTGATAGAGCTCAATTTCAGCTATCTGTATAGTCATCTTAATATTTACTTTACCAGCTGATAGAGCTCAATTTCAGCTATCTGTATAGTCGCATAAATATTTTCTTTACCAGCTGATAGAGCTCAATTTCAGCTACCTGTATAGTAGTATAAATATTTACTGTACCATCTGATAGAGCTCAATTTCAGCTACCTGTATAGTCATCTAAATATTTACTGTACCATCTGATAGAGCTCAATTTCAGCTACCTGTAAAGTTGTATAAATATTTACTTTACCAGCTGATAGAGGTCAATTTTAGCTATCTTTATAGTCGTTTATATCTTTACTTTACGAGCTGAAATAGCTCAATTTCAGCTATTTGTATATGCGTCTAAATATTTAATATACCAGCTGATAGAGCTCAATTTCGACAACATAGGTCAATTTTCAAAATGGGTATCCAAATCCAGTTCGTCTGATATCTTTGGTGCCAGACCTATACGTACAAAAATGTTGACGATTGTCTAATAATGCCAGGAAATGTCGTTTTTTTATTCCCCTCGCAATCAACAATCCTAGAAAAAGGCTCAGAGCTATCCTGATTGATCCAAGAAGGTTATTGAACTCATTGCATGTTAATCGCTGATTTTGTGAACTTCGTGTACATAGCGGTGAGTAAAAGCAAATACCTGGTTTCTCTTATTGATTGGCCTGTCATGTCTACCTTGCAGATTTTCCTGTTTGTGGACTTAGACTTGTAACTATCTCGTTAACCTAACTGCTTTGACATGTTGAATTTGGTTCCAAAAAGGTCATGGCTATTAGCACCGTGAGGGTACGAAAAACGAGCATTTAACAACATATGACCATCCTTTCTCCGAAACCCAACCAAGACACTTAACTGCATTCTTGACAATCAAAATGGCTTGATGCTTCAGAAAAAAAAAATTGGCGCGTCTATTGTTTTCCATCTTATTCGGTGCCGTTGGGAGCAGCCAAAGGCAATACGCACTGTGAAGGTGCAAACAGACAGCGCGTTCCCCTATTGCGATCGAGAGCGCTGCAGTTCAATATGATTGATTCTAACAATGAGAATACATATAAAAGAGAAGCAACTGGAATCTGGAATCTGCACTGGTGATATTGATTTTACATTTGGCGTTGATCTATTAACCGCGGCTAATTGACTAACATTAAAGACTGGATGGATGAATTGCAGAATGAATGAAGCCAGGAGAAAGCCACACATTGGTGATGGAATGTGGAGGAAATATTCATTCATTCATACATTCATTCACTTATCCATTCTAATGGCAAGGTATTTAACTAGCCATAATAATACACTACGATGAATAAATAAATAAAGTAGAAAAACTGCAGACAATGAATATCGGGAAGGAAAAAAATCTTTAATTAATTGATTAATTCATTCATTCAATTAGGCATAATAAAACACTACGATGCATGAATGAATGAATAACAAAAATGAAAAAGGATTCAGCCGAAATGAACAGTAAATACCCCATTCTCTTTTATTACAAGTTGTCATAGATGATTTACTGGACATCAATAATTAAATCGTTAATGGATGATCTTAATTAGGACTGTTAATAAATTATCCTTATCTCATCTATCTATGCGATATTACTCAATACACCATTAATAATGAATAAAGGTTATACTAGACCCAACGTAAACTCTTTCTCTTCGTATCCCTTGTTGCACCAATGTTTCACCAGCCGATAACTGTACTCCGGCTCCATCCTAATATAGGGCCAAGCTCCAATAACGCGCCCTGTTTCAACAAATCAGGCGGTAAACGTTTGCTGAAAATTAAAACCACGTACAACAAAGCAGATAATGGGGAATAACTCTGTTTTCCTTTCTATTCAATCAATCGTTTATACAGAGTTGTCGTTCCTTGCAGTCCCCTTCTATGTAGTCCAGGCTATTTTTAGAAATCTTCTTTCTCTCTCTATTTTGGGGTTTTTGCATGCCTATTTTGGGTAATTTTGATCTAGATTTGGAATTTTATGTCTGAAATTGCATTATCTTTAATATTTGGTGAGATGATGAGAGACTTACAGGCAGAGGGCTAATTCTAAAAATAGTCAAAATGTTCATAGTCATCATATATTGAATTTTTTAGGAGACATTGTGGATTGGTCAGGCTTTCATTCGACATGTTGGAAAGCTTTCAACGAGATTTCTGGAAAAAGTTATAGAAGGTTGAATTTTGTGTTTCAAAATGGGAAGAGATGGCAAATGAGTTAGTGGAGTAAGTCCATGTGATTGCAAGGAACGACAACTCTGTATGAGAGAATGCTATTCAGGTTTTTTTCTGGATCCGAGAGGATTAAAGCCCATAAACGCTATTTTCAGCAATTTAGGACAATAGATTTTCTGATGTAACATGCTATTTAAGTGATAAATCGTTATTTTTTACTTCCAACATCATTAAAGCCCTACTTGTTCCCTGCCACAACCCGCCAAGAGGATCCGCGCCTTAGGGCTTAAGAACCGGAGCTTGATCAAATGCCACTGCAAATTCTCTCGACGCTGATACTTTGAAAGAGAAAGATGTTATTATGGTGACTTTTACGATATTTGATGCTACTGCATTATACTAAGCATCGGATTCCATTCTTCTATAGATAAGATCACTGGTCTGACTAAATCTCACAAAAGACACAAATACATTTATTTGCAATGATTTTACGCCGTCAAAAATCCTACGACGTTCCGCCAAAACATCGACCAGTGTTTGCCGGTGTATTGTCTTCTGAAAGAACTTGCCCTCAGCTTCGGTTGTTAAATCAGAAGCACAAAGCCGCATTTCGTATTTTTTTAATTTGGTTTCATCGCGGTGATTGGTCACGTAACGAATAAGATATGTTTGTTTTTGTCAAGAATATCATTAATGGTATTAATTTAGAGTTTTTATAAAATAAAATACAGGAGCCATTTATATAAAATATACTGTTACATTATAGGGATATATTCGTCGAATTTATTGCAGCTCATAGATCACCATTTCAGTTAACCTTAATCACTTTCAGATTGTAAATTCTGGGACCGGTTCGTCTACAACTGCTTAAAGGGTGCAATGGCGTCATAATATCGTTGATATCGATAGTTCGTCTACAATTCCAAAAAGAGTGTAATGACGTCATAATATCGTTGATATCGATAGTTAGTCTACAATTCCAAAAATAGTGTAATGACGTCATAATATCGTTGATATCGATAGTTCATCTACAGTTCCAAAAAGAGTGTAATGACGTCATAATATCGTTGATATCGAAAGTTAGTCTACAATTCCAAAAATAGTGTAATGACGTCATAATATCGTTGATATCGATAGTTCGTCTACAATTCCAAAAAGAGTGTAATGACGTCATAATATCGTTGATATCGATAGTTCGTCTACAATTCCAAAAAGAGTGTAATGACGTCATAATATCGTTGATATCGACCTGCAAACCTTCAGTGTACACTCATATGACATCAAATCTTCACACTGAATAGGCCTGAATAGGCCTGAAACAGCACCCGATAAAAAGGCGTACAAGGACGGGCTGTAGCACGTGATTTATTCATCATGGTCGTGGGTTCTAATCTAATCTTGGTCGGCGTGTGAAAGTCTTGTGATCTTGAATAAGCCATTTTCCTCATTCTTCCACTCTACCCAGCTGTAAATATGTACAGATAATTCCGGAAAGATTAATGTCAAGCGGTTTGGTCAATGACCAGCTGGTAGAAAGGATCTCACTGAAGCTGGTGTAAGTTTATCCTTGAAAACAATGGTTGTTTCTTCCTCCTTATATTTATCTAGAAGACAGCGTCCCTTTAAGCCATGGATTAAATACCGACTATAAGTAGATAAAAAGATTCTATTTGTTTATCAATGTTTGCTGTTCCACACTAGAGAGCAGAATTCAGTCTTTGGTGGCAGTTGGACCAAAGATCATCATGAACCCACACGGGATATTTATCTGGATACTTTCCCATCTTTTGATTTTGAGGCTGCACCACTCTTTGGCAAGTCTGTGGAATGATACCGCGTTTGATTTGGATCCATCTTTCAGTTGGACAGCCAGTGATTCAATCAACAGCACGAACCCAAGTGAGACCCTTGGAAAGGGCCCAACAAAACCAGTGGCTACCCAAACGAAACCAAAAGCCGTGGACGACACCATGCACCCTAATCATATAGCTACCCAAAAGGAACGAAGATTCGTGGACAACACAACATATCCCATCGAGACTCTTGAAATGGATTCTTTTAATCTAGACGTGTCTTTGAACGTGGCTACTCAAACGGAACCAAGAGTCGCAGACAGTATCACAAACTCTAATGAGACTCTCGGAATAGACGTAGACGCGCCCATGTATCCTGATGAGACTTCCGAAATGAAACACAAGAATAAGAATGTAGACGATGAGGACGTCGATGGTGAATCGGTTTGTAAACCTGAAAGATCATCTTGTGCGAATCTATGTGGGGCCAAGGAAGCGAGTTGGAACCAGTTACTGTGTAGTTGTGACGTCTACTGTTTGATCTATGACACTTGTTGTGAGGATTTCGAACATTTCTGCCCCGAGACATGGCGGGAATCCAACACGATGTATCCGCACCTGATGAACCTGAAGACTCAATGCCTCCAACAGAGTCCTGTTGGTCATCTAGTTATAGCCAGCTGTTCTGACAGTACCAACCTACCCGTTTCTGACCAGGTACGAAAAGATTGTGAAGAGACCATGCCTGAAAACCCTGTTTCCATTGGGCATTTCCATTTTAAGAATATAAACTGTCTTCGTTGTAATGGATTTAACGAAACTGGTGTAACACAGTGGAGCTTGCAGTTTATTCTTCAAACGAAGCACAGATATACATGGATGACTGGACCAAGGTTTATAGATGATTTTAAATCTCTAGAAGGAAGCCATGCTTGGATTCCACCAACACCGATGCCCAAGTTGTGTAGGGCATCTATCGTCCACTCCTGTCCGGTCGGTACAGATCCAGAATTAAAGAAGAAATGCGAAGTATCGAAATCCTATGTGGTACTAGAACCAGATGACGGTACTACTATTTATAGTAACCGATATTGTTTGGTTTGTAACCAAGATAACGCAACCCAATGTCGCAGTGCTTTAAATGATGATTTTGAACTGGAACTGCCCTCCGAGCAGGTGTCATTGTTCAGCTGGGAACCGTTTGAAAATGGAGAGAAAGGGGGTATGGTTTTGAGCCAAATATACAAACTGTCTTGGAAAACGATTGAATGCCGGGGCGATTACACAAATCGATCCACATTAAACTGTACGGTCAATGAGTGCTTTGATTTTCTGTTAATGGTAGACGGAATCTGCTCCGTGAATAACAGAAAAGTCTGTTATGCGCTCGAAATGGGCTGGTGGAATGTCACAGCAGGGAACGACGACGGGACTAACTCAGAAGCGACTGTTGCAGAATTGACTTTGAAAGTGAGAGATATTTTGGAGAGTTTTATCCAACAGGGGTACAGGTATGCAAAATGGAGTTACAATTTATTGGGAGCATCAATACAATTTCAAATTGATACCATAACTGGCGGAGGTCGTTTGTTGAGAGAGGAAAATTTGAAAATAGGTAAATACGTTACACGGAATCTGTCGGAGAAGGGATACGTCGGGGAAGTGTCGGTTTGTTTTGACGCTTGCCAACGGATCGTGTGCGAAAACGTTGAAGTCTATAACATACCCCAGGCAAAACAGTTATCGTACTCGGTCTCTGTTCACTATAGAAACACAAGAGCACCTTGGTATCTACTTGTTCTATATTTGCTTAATCTCACGATTGGGTAATATTTGTATTCATTGTCCAAAATTTTGGTCCAATTGGAAGTTGGGGTTTTAGCGCAATGAAGGGTATATGGATATATATCACATAGTTTCAAATAGAACAATTATTTTATTAAGTTCACGATAAGAATTATTTTGATAAATTACTTGCTGGTACATGTATATAGTAATTGGATCGTGAATATCTGGACACAATTTTATAGATAACAATTACTTAAATAATAAATAACCGAATATAACTAAATGGATAACAATAAATTTGATAAATTACTTGTATATAATAATTGTATAGTTACAACCTAGGCTACATAGTTTTAAAGATAAAAATTACTTTACCAAATTACTTGCTGGTATATGGTTACTTTGATGTATATAACTAGCTGATATATACTGGACACATAATCGATCAGAATCATTTTGATAAATTACTTGCTGGTACATGTATATAGTAATTGTATAGTTACAACCTACACAGTCTTATAGGTAACAGTTACTTTCAATGGATTAAGACGAAGTTTTTAGGTATCAGGACAGATAAAGCTACCATTTGCACCAGTTCATGTTTGTTAAAATTTCAGCAAAGGTTTGACTTGACCAGTTTATCATTAAACTATATAAAAATATTAAAACTGTTTTCAGTTATTGAGCTATGGTTGTTATTCGTTCAGATAGTTATTTCTGTTGAATATCTTTTGAATAAAGATGACTTTCTACGACCTGGGCATAAGATTTAGGTTTTCTGTGTCCGTTTTGATGAGCTTGTGACAACCCCGTGTTTGCTTTCACTTTAAACTGCGTATTCGCATCCCCATTATTTTGATTTGGGATTTTTAAGTCTTCTTCTAGGACTTCTGGATTGGCCCTGGTACCTGTAGAATGAAAATATAAGACAGATGCATACAACAAAGCTATCTGCTCCATACAATGAAGATCTGAGAACTGGAAAGAGCATCGTCTCGTCGTTCAGATGAGACAATTAACCGGAGCCGCAAATACAACAGGCTGTACATAGTATAGTAAAGATCCCTTGACAAATTAGAAATGGGAAAATGGAAGGCTAATGCAATTGTTATGCACAATTTCCCTCATTGTACACTCGTTCAGGAGAAAAGGAAGTTACAATCCTTGTTAATTCATTCTAAACAATTTTTCAATACATACCATTTAGATTAAGAGCCTCAATTTCATCAGAATATAGCTCTATATACTCATGTCGGACCTGATTTTTAGGTGGAATGGGAACACATCGGAATATTTTACCATCTTGAATACAATAAGTCTGTTTGTCTTTTCTAAAATATCCTAAACCTTTATATCGAATTTTTTTCCCATTCTCGTCCAATTCCGCTCCCTGAATAGGCATTTCGAGCTCGTAATATGCTGAAAGAAAGTTATAGCGAGTGTGAACAGACTAATTAGAATACGGGCCCGGAAGTCTTTTAAAATAAAGCAACTAAAGGTCGGGAAGAGCCGCTAAGTTTCGAAGCCCGTATTAGAATACTAACCTGATCAGAAATATAACGGGAGTGCACGGACAAACAAACCATGTACGACAAAATTACGAAGGGAGGTAACTTAAGAACCAAATAAAAATTCGGCAGAAGATTGCCGGTGTGTTTCTGCTTCTTCTTTTGCATTTAGACTTCTAATTTATTCAAATTCGGACCTCGAATACAGATGCATAGAGTCAAGGACTATTTCCAATAAATTCTACGGCAGAGAGCCAAGGTAAAAACGAACCTACAGAGTAGAAAATGCGTCTCTGATCGAAATTTTCATTAACTGTTGTCTGTAGCAAATGCAAATAGTATATTCATTTACACTAAGGGGCAGAGCTCTTTCCAAAATATATTGTCAGACCACAGTTATGTATATCACACTTCTAATTTGTTATTTTACGGCCAGTGCCTTTGTGTGTCTGCTCTTAAAACTTACACGAACTTACCGATTGGGGTAATGAACTGAGTCTGAAACCAAGCCCCTGATATTGTCAGAAAACATGGGAAGAGGCTCTTCGCTTATGAGCTGATGTCCTCTGATATGATATCTGGTTTGGAAATGGAGGTTATCTTTTGAGTTCTACGCCCAATAAACATCCCAAAATTAGAATAAATAATTTATTGTGTTTATACAAATTTATACAAGTTATAATTGGTGATATTTTGTGATAAAAATATTCTGAAAAGAAGACCTAGGTCTGTTTCACAAAATTTAATTTTAACGTAATTCACTGATAGCAAAAAATACAAAATAAAATGAACAAATTTACATAAATTAGAATAACATGGAACCTATTTTACAAATATTGAAATTCGAGTAAATCACTTATATCAAAATTGAAATTTTATGAATAAATTTACATAAATTAGAATGATATATGCAAATGAAGGCATTATGGTACCAATTATGAATGAAATTATCAAGCCAATCTAAACCTTGAGTATGTTCCTCTGAACTTGAAGTTTTTTTGTATTACCTCAAATCATGGATGGCACATAAAGTCACCCTTGGCAAAAACACTAAACGAAACAATGGAACTGTATTTTTAGTGAGATTAATGAATTCTAAATTAACGACATGGTAGTTTTTGAAATCAAGCAGAAAACAAGAATTTTTGTTGAATACGAGACAATATTCCCCCTTAAATGAGTAAACAAAAACAATATCATATCACAAATAAAATACAACATCACAGAACTAAGGTAAAGCTAATTCCAATTTACTATAATTCATGATCTTGTTGTTTTACAAACGAGCACGTTGCTGTCAACCCGAATCGTAGTCTTTTGGACCATGTGACGACATAAAATGACGTCATAGTAGTTTTAAGATAAATACCCTGTAAACCATTTTTAAAAAAAATCCTTTCAAGAAAAGAGTTCATTATTCACTCTCTTAAAAAGTAAGGAATAACAGAAAATAAGCTAATATACAATAAATATATAATGAAAAAATATATATAACTCCGGTTTATTTTGATATTTATGATATTTTGATCTGTTTATTTGAAATAAGCACTATCGATTTAAATCACACCGTTAAAAAGGCACTTTCAGGAGAATGCGAAATATCAGCTCTTTTATCACTTTCAAATTAATTATCATTTCTCATCATTCGATACTGTTCTATATTTCGTAATCACAGTTGTAAGAAATCACTGTAATAGAGTATTGTTTTTTTGTGATTTCACCAGTTTTATAGCACTCGAATGAATTTATTTTATTATGTCGCAATATGAGGATGTCAGCTTGGACGTAATGACGTCGCTGACGTCATTTCCCGCGCCGTTGATGTGACGATGCCTTAATCGCTTATCGGCGTTCCGTTTTGTTGATTTTGCGTCAAGATTGCGTCATCCTCTTCTCGAATTGGTGCCTTATGACGTCGCTTTTTTTTTCGTTTCATCTTTTTCACTGGCGTTTCTTCAATTTGATCGTGACCCAGTAAGGGAGGTAACTGATGAGCTCTTGCTGTTTTCAGGTCTGGTTCCATAATGGAGCTGAAATTATTATAAAAAGATAATCAATAAAGGTAAAGCGGAATATAGAAAGGCGTCTATCAAGCTAAGCAGGAACTGACAAAATTAAAACAGAAACGGGGAGAAAGAAGGCAGCTTGATTCAGTAGAGGTAAGCACGTAAGAAAATTATATAAAAAATTGCAGGGGATATCTAACAGAGATGGTATTTGAGAAAAAGTTTTCTAAATATATCATTGAACAAAATATTGACGAGAAATAGTATATTCAGGAGGATTATGTAAATTCAATAGAAACATTAACAGCCCATTGGCTACTTTTTTTTATATATATAACTTTGCCATTTGAGGCAAAGTTGCTGCGCGCGCTTTTGTTTTGCACTGGTCTCTATACTTACATAATGGGACCTTTACCGTTGGAATAGCTATGATATTGTGAGCCTTCTTCAATTCTATAGTGAAAACAAAATAAAGTGAATATAGAAAGTGAAACATGCAGAGAGAGAAAATAAAATTGATAAATAGATGAATAAAAAATATAAATGCATTTAAGAATGGTGATATTGTGACGTCATACCTAGGCCCCATTCGTGGCGTTAAAAGGCACGTCATTGGGTGTGTTGATTGATGTCATAACGCACAATAACATCACAAAACAATGAATGAATGTGACGCAATTCAGCGTGTAACTTGACGCCGTTAGAGTGTACTGTGACGTCATAATCAACATTGTGAGTGTGACGCAATTTATTGTGTAATTTGACGTCATTAGAGCGTACCGAGACGACTAAAATCAATGACGTGAGTGTGACTGTGGCAACGATATCTGAATACTTGTATCCGCGAGTGACACAGCCTATCCTAGAACTATCCATTCCGTGTTATTCTGTGGATTAAAGAAACACGTTAGTAAAATACAAACCCGACTTCCATAAACCTGAATTAAAAGTTAGAGAGTCAAATTTTTTAATCCTAAAACTATGAACAATGGACAGTTTTACGTTCCGTTATTTTTTAACGTATTAGATTACTGATGTACATTATTACTTTCAATCTATCTGTATCCTTTAAGCGATAAATCAAATATTAGATTCTGAGCTACCACGTACTAGCAGTGAGCCCATACGGTTCCTTGTTGCGTAAGACCTGAATTATCCCAAATATAATATTTAAGTACCATCATGTTGGAGGACGCTAAAATAGCTGTGTCTAAACCCTACCTGATTCGTCCTGTAGTCGGTCGAGCAGTTTTAGGTCGACCTGATGTGCTTCCGTTCATGGAAACTTCCACATCCTGTCTGGAAACGGTTGAGGTTGAAGATCTGGAAAAGAAAGATTGCGATGAAATAATTTCCAATGTACACGCAACATAATTTCAATAGTAGCGTATGAATCCAACCTCCATCTTTTTCTATCTACTGCGTGTATCTTGACCACCTCAGTCCAAAAAAGACCGATTTTTTCCAGTTATAGGGAATATAAATTTGTAAAGTAGACAAGTATTTTATTATGAAGAATGAATGATAACTTACGTGTAACCATTATACGGGATGTGAGATATACCATGCGGTGATTTAATTGGTTCTTGTACTCCTGTTTCCGGTTCCGGACTAACACGTGCAGTAGAGTTACTCCTCTTTTTACCACAAATAGCTGCACAAAGACCTGAATTAGGGAAACACTCAAGTAAGAGAAAAACTTCAAAAACACCCAAAGTCGAAAATAATGATAACATCACTAGGCCACGGATGCTTACAATCTTAAAGATCATTACCAAGGTCATCTTCCAGTAGAATTAAGATAATCTTAAGACGCAAGATATAGGATCCAGGCAAAATCTCCTGCCGACCACGATTAGAACTCGCGGCCCAATCAAGAAAATAACGTCAAAAGATTCTATGATCTCACGACGTTATTACGTAAATGACGTCATGTAATTTCGAACACCTATTCCGACTGAGCTACAAACCCTCAATAAAGTTACCTACCCTGCTTACAACAGAAGATGATGGCGATGATTAATAAACAAAGCAGGATAATGATAATGAGTACAATTAGTACTATCCAGGTTAAAGATAGACTGTCGTCTACAGATTCTCCCACTGAAAGTATAAATACATGGACTCTTTGAAACGAATGTCAAGTCTACATTAAGTTTTGTGGGCATGTGTTACTGTCTTAATAACTCATCATTCCCAGTAAGAGATTATATCTCCAACATAGTTACAAGAGGCGAGCAAAAGTCCTAGCTATTGTCGTCAATACCGTCAACATAAGAGGCCAGGTAACAAGAAGCAAATTTCTGGCTAGTTGACACCATCCAAAACCATTGGCTCAACGAGATCCCTATGGTAGTTGAGGTACTGTCCAAAATAATTATCAGAGATTAGGTGTGAATGTATGAATTTATGAAAGGACAAGACTAACAGAGAGCATAACATGGTTCATTTTAATTTTTTTTTTTGCATTTATCAAGCTGAGTCTGCAGCTAGTTTTAAAAACGACCAATTCCATTACTTCAACGTAACAGATTACTTAAATAAATTACTTGTCTCCCTGAAAAATCAAGTCTGGCTACGCTTGAATTAAACTCTCACCTTTCCCACTGTCTTCAATTGATATGGAAATATCACCGGATTCTCCTTGACTGTTGGTGGCTCTACAGATATAGTTGCCAAATGACGTGGAGTTGACTTTCACAGTAAGGTTCTGGGAGGTCTCTAGTAGGGGTGTTGTCTTGAACCACCACCTGTACGAGGTGGGGGCCGGGTTGCTGATAACTGGACAGGTTAGTGTCACCGTCTCACCAATATCGGCAAAATTCCTATTATCTGTTCTACCTTTTGGTTTGTCTGAAATGAAAAGGATCACATGGCCTCATCTTACGCTACGTATATATAACTATAACCGAGATCCTCCAGGAAG